AAACTTATACCCATGTAGTTTTCAGGTGGTATTGAGGCTGTTGGCCCAGGTTTCACATAATTAAATCACAATTTTGAGACATTTATATTGTCCTAGCTATGTTATACAGTCCCCATCATAAAGTACATAGAATGGAGCATTTGTGAAAAGTGTAAACATAAGCTTAGTAACACCTGAGAATAGCTGGAAGAAGAAAAAAGAAGTAATATGTAAATAACTCATGAATAGATAACAAGTAATTTGACATTATAGTAGCAATACCCAAGCACGGAGATCAAATACATTCAAAAATGAAAAATAAGAAGCAAAAACATTTTTTTCTGATAACAAAATATTTATTTTCACAAATATTGAAAAACACAAACTTTGAACCACACAAAAGAAAAAAGTAGAGTGTCCCTATATATATTTGATACAAATATAAAACATAACACACTTTTAGATTATCAGCACAGCTCAGTGAAAATACCTCAGGAAAAACCAGTCATAGGCAATGCTGTTGATACATGCAGAAAACCATAGAACACACAGTATTATTTGAGTTCAAAATCCATTCAGAATGGTAGATAGGCCAAAAGAAGCAGGGGAGGAGAGCAGCCACAGTGTCACTAATACATTGAACTTCAAACAGGAAAAGTGAACTGTCAGCTGGAACACACCTAAAATAAACTCTATCTAGAAAGATAATGTTTTGTCAGAATTGATAATGGGTTAAAAGATTTACATATTAAGGCACATGTATGAATCTTAATACAAATATTCAGCATTTTCAGAGTGAATGATTAGAGATAACCAATATGTAAATAACTACATTTTTTTTTTTTTGCTGAAATCATAGCCTTTTTATCCCCCTTTGTCAGAGCTGAAAGCTACATAACTTATTCCATTTCTTCATATACTTGTAAGGAGTAATATTCATTAACCTATTTTCAGATGCTGTTGATTCTCTAACATGTTAACACACTTGTAGATGCTATAGCTTTTTAAGCTTAAGTCATGATTAGCAGGTATAGTTTCTGTGGCTAATGAACACAATTTGGAATGGAAATATGCCTTTCTACCAAATGCCTTTCTACCAATTTTTGTATGACTAAAGCATAAAAGTTCATCCATGAACAATCAGAAGCGTGCTAACATCCTCTGCACATTGTGCACTTTCACCAGGGCAAAACATAAAGGCACACATTTAATATGTTGCCCAAATAGCCCCACTTTCTACCAGGGTGCATAGATTCATGTGCACACTTAAATCCAAACCCCAGTTTTCCATATCAAAAAATATATTTCTCATTCTTTAAAGATTTACTTTTCCTACTTGATATTTTAAATGTAATATACTTGGCTTCGTGTATGAATTGTTCTTCCTCTTATATTCTGAGGAAATTCTGAGGCATGATAAAAATTACAATATGCATGTATTTCATTAAACAATACTAATGGAATATGTAGGTAAGGATCTTTTGTGGTATCTATAATGCCATGAGATCATTCTTGAATAAAGTTAAGTTCTGAGTCATGATTACAATAAGGACATAGAGGAAGTCAATATGCATTTTCATATAGTTCTTTTGAACAGTTTCTACTTTATGTAACGCAGTCCTACATATTTCAAGAATTAAACAACTTTTTATATGAGTATGTCTATAAATAATCTAATATAAAGAAAATGAAGTTTTAATTATCTGAGCGTGAATAAAATCTTATCTATACATTAATATCTCAGAGGAATAAATTTTTCCCCTCACAGTTAAAAGGAAAGGCATTAATCAGCATGCTTTAGGTGTCTTCAGCAATTCAAAAGACTCCTCCAAAGAGGGGTTATATTGGTGTGTGGTATTCAGTAAGAATTATCAGCATTTACCCTTGCTGCTAGCATGATGATGTGGTCAAGTTATTTTAAATTTGAATTAATAGGTCAATTACTGCTCCTTTGTCCTATATCCCTCTACGTGTAAAACACAAAACAGAATTTGATTTGCCTTCCCTTTTTATATTGGAGTTTTATAGGAAAACTAGTGCTCTCTGCAAGAAGTAAAAAGTGAAGTCTTGCTAAAGAAGGCAAGATTACCTATTAATGTCTCCTCAAACAACAAGAAATCCTATACACTCCTGAACTCAAGTCTTGCTGCTGTGAAGGATGAAACCAAAAGTCGCTTTGTTTTTCCTTTAAAAATTAGCCCAGAACAAAGTGGTCACAATTAAATTTAGAAAAATGTTTCAGAAAGAACTATGGGTTTATAAAGAAATACGGCTTCAGATAAAATACTTCAGACAGAAAGTTAGGATAAATAGTTTGTGACACCACAGGAACTGGACAAAACACAGGAATTTTTTAAAGAAAGACATTTTTTAATGTTTGAAACAAGTCTTTCTGAAGTGACTATGAAAGCAAGAAATATTACAAACATTTATTAATGCATATTCTACTCTTTGTAATATTTCATACCATAATTCCTTTATTATCATTTACATTTCTTAATGCTAGAACAGCATTCTGAGGTTGTCAAGCTCAAGTTGCAGCTGAGTAAAAAGACCAAAATTTCATATTTTCAAGAGTTGCAGAATGTAGAAAATGACAAAGTCCATAAAATAAAGAGGGCTAAAATGTGCTACAGATGATGTTCAATTTGCATTATCTGTGACAAAAATATAAGCCTATATTTGAAAAAAGATAATGGTTATGATTTCTGCTATGGCTGTACAAAGGATTCCATCGAGAAATAAAATTAAGTAGTATATAATAGATGGTTCATAAGCCAATCATTTATTTTTCACTATTAATGTCTTTCAAAATATTGAGTGCTCATGAATTGCAATATGCCAACAGTCCTGGAAACTGCCTGTTGTAACTGAATAGAGATGCTACTAGAGTGACGATGCTTTCCCCTTGAGGAAGACCAGAGTGCAGGGCCTAGGATTTGTTTAGAACATCCACTCCTCTGCTGAATTTCCTACCAGGGATCCAATTAGTGAATTGGAACCAAAAAAGACACACACAAAAAAAATCATGCTTGAACCAGGTCTGTAGAAACTGAAATCAATTCAAGTATGGAAATACATTTTTCAAGGTTCTCTTTTTGTTGTTGTTCAAAGTATGGATTTTAATGATATTTTCATAATCCTTTTGAAATGTACTGCTGCTTAATGCAAAAACATAGTGCCACCATTTCTTCAACTGAAAGATAAAAGTGGGTTTTGTAAAACTAAAGCTTATTAAATCTTCATTTTGCAGATCGATATTACCAAAGGTCCTGATGTAGCTGGTGCATCAATATAGAGATTCCTTTGCTACCTGCATAGTAGAAGAAATGTTATTGTTTTTCAGAAGTCTTATCAAAATAATATAATAGATGATCATTAAATTCTATATATCTAAGATATCATACATTGTATTATCCATTCCAATTTCTCAAGTTACAGAGAGCTCTCCAGTGAACCTCACATAAGGCAATGCATAATCCCATTCTAGGAAGGCTGCTGTCCAACTCTCCAGAGTGGCACATATCAGACAAAAAAGGGTAGCTAATTAAATCAGTTCTGAACCAACATTTTCACACCCTTCAGACCATCTTCCATTTAACGGTATATATACCACCTTCCAAAGGACCATGGACATATTACCATGTGATCCACTGAGTAAAACCACACATTAGCTCTGCTACCTCATAGCCACCTTATACTTTGTTCCCTCTTGTACACCTCTGTGTTTCAATTGTCCACAAATATGCCCAAAGATATAATTTTTAAGATATTATAAATGGATGCTTAAGATAAATCAACATCTTCTGTGATTCTTCTAAATACTAGCAAATCAAGTAGTCAACAAAGAAAAATTGTCTTCTCTACTTGTAAAAAATTACAGTAATTTTTCCTTATAAAAGTAAAATGTTAATTAAAACTGGTATTTGTTGATCAAGAAAGCTTTGAATTCTTCATAATAATTTAGCTATACATGGACCTAAGGAATTTGACATCCTGGGTTCACTAGCAGTGATAAAATTTATCACACAATTTAAATGCAAAATATTGACAAAAAATTTATAACTTTTATATTTCTTATTATAAAGCATGCTTTTCTATTAGAACAATTTTTTGTTATTTTGTTATTTTGTTCTACTTCCAAGGTGAATAATCTTGTCTATTTATTATAGAAATGGTCATATGAGGGTCTTTGTTTAATTATAACTTGTTTGTAAGTGGGCTAATGACAAGTATTGAAGGTAATGAAATATTTCCTTTATTTATTATAATGTGAATATGTGAGATTAGCATTTTGAAAAAAATTATGTCCATGAATAAATGGGCAGAAATGATAAGAACAAAAAATTGGGTTGCTTCCCCAGACACAGATCTCAATTTCACAGAGAAAGATTTGAATAAGTCAAAATTTTGGACAAAAGCTATATTTGTGTTAACATTGCAATTGTCAAATTACATCTTTTATCTCATTCCTCTTAGAATGAAAGATGTAATTTTAATCTGCTTGATAGTCATAGGTCCTACTTACTCATTCAGTCTTCATTTGTACTTTTTTTTTTCCTGAGTCAGGGTGTTTCTTTGTCTCCTAGACTTATGCACAGTAGCACAATAAAGGCTTACCACAGCCTCCAACTCCTGGGCTCAGACAATCCTTCTGCTGGGACTCTAGGCATGTGTGACCACACCAGTAGCTGGGACTCTAGGCATGTGTGACCATACTAGCTAATTAAAAAAATTTTTTTTTGTGGAGATAGGGTCTCACTATTTTGCCTAGGCTAGTCTCAAACTCCTGGGCTCAAGCAATTCTCCCACCTCAGTCTTCCAAAGTGCTGGGATTATAGGCACGAGCTACTGCACCTAGCACATTTGTGTCTCAATTGACATTAAGTATCCCAAAAGTGTAGGATGTATTATAAAACTATCACTGGCTAGATATGTCTAGAGGTATTTACAGCTAATGCATAACCCCTCTTGATAAAATGAAAACAACATATACACCAATGTTACTTAAGCAATATATGTTTTTGTATATACTTACTTATTTTACTCTTTTTGATCTGCATGCACAATATGAAATCATAAAAGCAACAAACATCACCACACCAACACTGAGTAAGATCATTTCTACCATTCCAAGGAGTTTTATTTTTCCAGTCACTTGATTTCTGAACATTTTTGCCTTTTCATCACCAATGGTCCCAGTCTGTAATCAAGTTTATAGTTAGCATTATTTGAGCAGACTAGGAAAGCAAAATGTTCACTCTCCAATTATGTGTTACCGTTTTCTTTAACCCCTGTATAGATGTGTTAGTCAACTGTATCGACAAAAAAGCAGTAAGTGCCACATAAAGTATTTACAGAGTAAAATATAGATTTCTTCCATTTAAACATGTTTTATTAACATTCTTCAGTGTACTAGAACTCAATTGATCCCAGAACTGTCTCTGAACCATTTCACAACTTTCCAAAGACTGCTTCTCAGTGACACAGGGATATAGTTTCAGTAGTTTCACTGTCTCTGAAGGCTTATTCAATGCATTGCCTATATTTGTGGCTTATCAATGCAATGATTTACATTAAAAAAAATCTTGTCAGGCAATAGGATAGACTGGCTACACCTACTTTAACTTGGCATTTATATTTATGGTTTGCTTTTTTAACCCTATAATATACATTGAGTCTTGATTTACTGGCAGCTGCACACGTGCCTCTTCTCTAAGACAAGGGTTGCAAGAACAAGTGTTTAATAGATACATTTTGAAGATAATCTTACATAATAGGAGATGCTTTTAAAATGAAAACTAACACAAGTTTGCTATCTCTGTGCAACCAGGTTCTCTCAAATAGGTATGGTCAATAATAAGTAAACTCGTCCACATAGGTAATGGAAATACTACTTCAAATACTATACATTCTTTTAAAACATCAAAAACTCTTTTATATACAAAGTTTATTGTCTTAATGACTAATACTAACCTCATTAAGCCAAAGAATAGGCACAAGATAGTTCCTCTTCAGATTCTTTAATGCTCTGAAATATATATATAAAATAATTATACCAATACAATGAATATAGATATATATCACTTTAATAATTACTAGTTTAAGCAAATATTCAGAAATTAGTTGTTCTTGCAAGTTAATTAGGTTCCTTGATTTTGTTCCCTGTAATGAGTCATTTAAATGTTAATATAGCTGTTTTTCAGACTTCTCAACAAATCTACCTAGAAGAGTAAAATAGGAATTCTAAAAATTGTTATAGAAATATTTAGGGAGCTATGAGAGATGCCACCAAATGCTCAAATACAAACCATTCCAATATATATGCAAATGCCATTTCAATAAACATTAGATATAATTCTAAGTTACAGATGAAAGGTATCAGAAGCATTTAATAAAGATTACTTAATGAAAATAAGCTAAAAAGAAGTTGATTTTTGACTATTCCCACTTACTTGTATAGATTTACTCACATTCTTACAAAAAACAAAAACAAACTGTAAGTCATATCAAGATAATCTGGTCCAAAAAACTCACTCTATTTTTTTTGCTGGTTTGACCAATATGTTGATCTGAAGCCTTTTTGCAAATTGTAAAGTAAATCCAGTTATCTAAAAGAGAATAAATAATTACCAACTTCTTTTTAAAATGTTTTTTATAATATCTGAAACTTTTTAATTGTTATAACAGAAAAGAAAGAGAATATAGAACTTAAGGTGAAACAAGACTTCTTATAACTTGTAAAAGTTATTAGATAATTGAACCTATTAAATATATTACATATATAACTCTACACAATTACAGTATATGCATATATGTGTTATGTATACACAAACCTATGTAGGTATATACTTGCAGTACATCAGGATAACAGAATATCACGCATAGTTTCTTTTCCCAAGCTAATGTGAAGACTTTAGTTAGATTTATGATTTACTAAAATGGTTTTTAAGAAAACCAACACAACAGCAATAACAAAATATAAGAGCTTAGATAATTTAATTGCTGAACTATACATGGTCAAATATATATTCAGTCAGAATCCATGTACAATTCATTATAATACCACTTCAAGTTATCATTATTTAAACTGAAATATGACTACTAAATATGTGAAATTTTATCTTCTAGAAAGGAAATTAAAATAATTTAAAAATTAAAATTATGCTATAACAATCTTTATAGATTCTTATTGACAATAAGTATAATAGACTTTGTCCCACATTCACGTATACTCATAAAACCAATACTTACAACGAAGTGTAATGTAAGCATAAGGTAGTAATTTACAAAAAATTATTTTAAGCCAATTAGAATCATTTCTATCATGTCTATAACTGACCTGTAAAACATTAAAAGGCTTATAGAATTCCATGTGCTAAAACTAAAATTAATATTTTTTACAATTCTATAAGCAATAACCAGAAGAAACCAATGTAATTTTTGCTGACATAAATTTTCAGTAACTTATTAAGAACGTGAAACAATAAATATGATACGTATGACTGACAAGATTACTTTTTTCTTTCACTTTCATTTTTACAAACAACGTAAACTAAATCCAATCAATAATATATTTGCTTACAGGTTCAACATCCAAGTATGTCCTATGTTCTTCTTCATTTGGATTTAAGCCTTCAATAGGTTCTGAAACATCAGGACTTGCATGTAGAAAATGAGGAAGTGAAATATACACAGGTTTTCCTGAAGACAAGTTTTAAGAGTCAACATTTCATATACCACTTAGAATATATTTCTTTGAAAATAAAGCTTTTCAAATTAAGAAAATATACAATAAGATTTGAACAGTGATTGGAGGATAAGGGGAAGGGGAACTTTAACATCAGGATACTATTGTACAAAAATAAAATATGAAATTTTGTATTATCTTACTAACCAGTCAGTTGTTGTTATCTGTTGTATATTTCCTAGGTGTTTATTTTCAATATGTAAAATATATCTGCTGCCCACAAAATTTCAACTATATGTGTTCATATTTTAGGCAATAATATGTCTATGGACTAAGAATTTTTTTCATTTCTTTCTTTATAACACTCACTTCAGTGTGACAATATGAGCAAGATAAGACAGATGCTAAGTTTTGTTTTGAAGTCAATTCTTGTTTAAGAGACATACTGAAAATATAACTACTTTTTTATTTTTTTACCATTTTCTAGCAGAAAAGTTAGAACAATGGCAGATGGATAATTCTGGATGTTCAAAGTGTTCTAGGAATTATTTTCATTTCACTCTAATTCTAAAAGCAGCACAGGGAAATACTGGTGTGGTTTTACCTAATGATAAGTAAAACCTACAATATTGAAAAACAACTAGAACCTCAAAAACAATAAAAATCAACACTAAAATTTTCTGCCACCACCCTTTCTGCCCTTATTGTTTTCTTATTTTAATTTTAAATTGTGAGTGGAACAAGATTCTGGGTCCAGGATGCATTTTAAAGAATGCTGCAAATTAAATTGTGAACCATCTACTGAGAATATTTACTCACCTTCTTTGCATTTGCTGATGTCCAGCACACCATATAATGTACAGTTTTGTGAGATAACTTTCTCTGTACAGAAACAATGATTGTCTGGGTTTTGAAGTGGAGATGCAAAGGCCTTGGGTGGAAGTACAAATCTATATACAGGGATTCCTTTCAGATTAATGTCGGATTCAAATATAGCATAGATGGACCTAAACACAGATTTAAAAAAAAAAAAAAGAAGCTGCATTTCAACAACCTGAATTACATTCTGTAGATTCGTTTTGTTAATTTGTTTGTTTCTGATTTTTAGTTTATATTCTCCTTTAACTTAGAAAAACTGGATTCTCTTGTTAGAATTTTAAGTACTTGGTTATTTTGTAGGGAAAAAGATCCTGGGAAATTTTAAGAAACAACAGAATTTGATACTCGGGTATGAAGTATTCTTACCTTTGCTCCCAAAAGCTTCTACGTTTATGATATATTTTTGTTTGTCAACTACCATGCAATAGTTATATCAAAGGCACTTCTCATAGTTAATTTCCCCTATATATTAAATATTTATATGACTCTTCAGAATCGTTCAAAGGAAATAGTTCCTGCCTTAACCCTGGAGAGAAAAGGCCACTCAGTTGCTGATAGGTATGTGTGCTTGGCATATATACCTCAGACATCTCCATGATTTACCAAGTGTCCACCATGACCTAAGCCATGTGCTGTGATTCTATACACATTCTTTCTAATACTCCAATAACCCTGTATGAAGAAACACCATTCTTTTCCTATGTGACAGATACAGAAAAAAACTGAGATGTTAACTGCTTGGCCACCACCACAGTCTTTAGGAAGAGGGCAGGGACTCAAGGGTAGTGGTGAAGGTTCCAGTGCTTATGTGGTATCTAACAGAACCCACCAGTTTCAGAGGAGCACATTAATTAGCACAGTTCTGTGACAGTTGCATCATCTTCTCTGGACATTTTTTAAAAGACTGAGTATGCCCTTCTAGACCTGATTATCAATAAATAGACTACTAAAAGAAAGATAAAATAGTTCAAACTTAGAAATGACAAAGAAAACAATTTGTATTATAAAAAAATGAATGCTGAAAAAGAGTTAATAAAAATTATGAATTCCATATCTTTATATTTATTCTTACGAAATCAAGAAATTTCCCTGAGTATGAGTATTAAGTATGAATTTCCTTGGTCTGCATTTTGTCACTTAGGGGGAAAGGTCTGATTCGGAGACATACATCGCTGTCTTTCTCTTACCTGCAAATATCAGAAGAAAAGAATTGTAATACCCGGGTCTTCTCAACAAAAGGTGGGAATGAGGCTGCATCTGTTTAAAAATCAAACCATTGGCAAGTAATTAGAAACAGTGCATTGCAGAAAAATCTAGAAATCTCTCCTCCATAGAAGTCAATAGAAATATAATGTACACCACATATGTAATTTAAAAATTATCTAGCAGCCACATTTTTTAAAAAGTAAAAAGAGCCGGGCTCGGTGGCTCATCCTGTAATCCCGCGCTTTGGGAGGCTGAGGTGAGTGGATTGCCTAAGCCTGCGGGTTCGAGACCTGCCTGGGCAACTTGGCAAGACCTCATCTCTACAGTAAATAAAAAATTAGCCGGGTGTGGTACTGCGCGCCTGTAGTTCCAGTGACTTGGAAGGCTGAGGCAGAAGGATCGTTGGAGCCCAGCAGGTCGAGGCTGCAGTGGCCAGGAGTGGACACTGCACTCCAGTCTGGGTGACAGAGTGAGACTCCAACTCAAAAAAAAAAAAAAAAAAAAGTAAAAAGAAACAGCTATATTTTTAAACCTAATTTATCTAAAATACTATCATTTCAACATATAATCAATTAAAAATTGATGTTATTTTACATTTCAATTTCAAACTCCAATGTATACTTTATACTTACAACACATTTCAGTTCATACTAGCCACATTATGAGTGTTTGATGACTACATGTGGCTAGCAGTTACTACACTGAACAATAAATGTGTATATTATACAAATTTATTAGTATAAATAAACTTTAAGAAATGATAAAATCAGAAGCTGTTAAAACTAATTGTGTTTGTTCCCCTCATCAGTAGAATGGTACTTTTCTTACCATGATGTTCATTTACAACTCCTGCTATATCTACCTTTTTTTGTTTTTAATAACACTTCATTTATCTGTCCTAATGGCTAACTTTTAAAAACCACTTACTGAAGTTCTGTCACTAAACAGAGTGTTTTGAAAACATATCTATCAAATGTAAAAAGTCACATATTAAATTTACGGAATTTCTGCTATAGTTATGATCCATGGCATATGTTAGATATATACAGAAATAATTAGTTAACTCCTCTATTTGCTCCTCAAATGAATGTCATTAAAATGAGCAATGACTGAATGCGTTTGCTTAAGATGGTAAGCCACATCTATCAGTTATGCAAACCAGGTTCTTTTTCTGGCAAGTGTTTCAACTTTGTGACTTTGTTATCTTTCATTTACACTCTTGTGATAAGTGAAATATAACCACAAGATCATATTGATCTTGTGGTTATATTGATCTTGTGATCACTGCTTGACCCTGCTATTGAGAGAATTGGATGTTAAAGTCTAAATTTCCCACATAGGTCCTTGTATAGGTGTTGCCTACAATTGACTTCCCAGGACCTTAACAAGTTTTTACTTGTTGAAGATACACTGAAAAACTTTAGAAAATCATTATCTAAAAACACTGAAGATTATGTTTTAATTATACCCCCAAATTACCATGGGCTATGACCTCAAGATAGCTAGCATTAGAAGGGCTTTGTTTCCCCTCCCAAGCAAACATACTAAATATATACCAATATTTCCTTTTATGTCTTTTAAAACTTATTGAAGAAGGTACAGGATGCACTCCTAAATCATGATGAAAACACATTGGAACCTTTCTGTTTCTTACTTTATTTTCCTTAGTGCCATAACCAAAAATATCACACAGATATCATCCCCTGCTTGGTCCACCCTCCCTCTGTTCTTGCTTTATTTTATTTCTATCTCCCCCTCAAGATACTTTTAACTTCGTACCTGATGCCCATACATTTATATTATTGTCATTAATGAATCTTCTTGTTAAATCTATCTACTTAGTTTTAGACAGAATTATTTAATGATTTTCTCCCCTTAAGCCTATAATGAATCCTTTACTATTTAGAACAGTCTTTGTATCTAAAGACTAAGTATTAAGCTATGCAACTACTAGTTTTAGTATTATTGAGGATTTATTTGCAGAAATGCTTTCCTCAGAAATGAATTTTTTTCATCTATTCCCATGGATCAAAATCTCACAAAGCAAACCCAGCATTGTTTTTGCTGTTTTCTTTCTACAAGACAGTGACAGAATTAAGCATGTAAAATTTAAGCATCCTTTGGAAAAGTAAACATTCTTGGGGATTATTTTTTATTTAACTTTCTCTATCTTTATTACATAATTTTCCTGTGGGGTAGTCCCTTACCTACTGTTTCTTAGTAGTTGAAAGCTCATTTCTCAATTTAATTAGTCAATAGTATTTAAATGTTATTGCTTGTTTGTTTTTTCTTCTCTCTCATTCTGACCATCTTATTCAAAATAGACGGTATTGTCTTGCAACTTCACTAATTCTACTTTGGCTTTAAACCTTACATACCTCTTTGTAATTATCTTTTTTTATCCTTTCAGTTATAATTTGTTTTGTTTTCTGTATAACAATACAAAAGATCTATATAGTAACTACTTCAGGTTTCTTTCTTTTTTAATCGTTTACTTCTGTTGCTAGGATGGCAGCTTAAGTAAAGTTTCTACAAGGTCAACCTTTTCTTAGTAATGAAGTCAGGCAAATTCTTAATAGTTAATCTTCAGAAATCCTATCATATTAAACAGACATTTACTAAGTCTGTATAAAAATAGGGACTCTGAATTGTGTTGTGGGGATATAAAGACAGGTAAACACATGTTCTCAACTATCACAACACTGGCATTATGATGGTAGATTTGTGGGAGAAGGTGAGGTGAGTTCATTGTGATTATTATCACAAAACTAATGTCCTTACCTGTGCCATTGACCATGTCACAATAACTTTCCCAATAGGAGAGGTTCCTTAGAAATAAAAAGGAAGAAATTTAACACATTTCGAGAGTACCTTTCTCACATTACCTTTTCTATTATGATGAAAAACTTCTGCTTAAATAATGAAGATTAGATGTGGAAAGTGCTATGTTTGAGAAATGTTTGAGGCATTTGGTTCATGTTGTATTTGAACATTTTATCTTATTGCAGTAAGTTAAATGCCTCATCCTAGGCACACAAAGTAGCTAGATCATAACGCAAAAACTCTCAAGTGCTAATTTAGGAACAACTTAGAATAAGAAAATTTAAAAATGTTGATAACAAATTTAGATTTCTACTTAGGAAAAAATTTTTTTCCAGCGGGAGAAATGAACTATTAGTGTAAGTGTTCAGACTAAATAGAAGGAAAGCATTAAATGGGTAACTGAGGTAAGAAAGAAAGAAGCAGATCTTTGAATTAATAAAAATTCAGAGCATGTAGTTAATCAGTTTATACTTTCCACCCCCTTAATTCTCGCATGGACTGTCATTAAAGTAGGACAGAGTTTACTAACTTATACTTTAGTGTCTAAATAAGCTATATATCTGGAAGTGAAATAAACAATTGTGATAGTTTGCCTACATCCTCAGCTGCTTTTTGAAGATGGAAAAAACAGTTTATTTCCACTTCTAACATTATGCAGTGAGATGGCGATGCAAGCTGTTGCTTATTTTTTAAACAGCATAAGCTGTTAACCATGTCTGATCTTACTATAATGAGTTAAATCAACCTTATCATAATCTTAACATGATGTGAAATTCTTTAATTTGGAATGTTTAAAAATTCCTCTCAATTCTCTATTTTTATAACACTGAAATGGAGTGAAATGCTCATTGTTCCTCAATATAAAAAAATGATGTGATTTCTTTTGAAATGAACCCTTGGAAGTGTTTGTTTTCTTCCACTTGGCTTTTTTAGAAGAATATGTAACTATGGAACAATGGACTCCTTAGAAGGAAAGGTACTCCACTAGTAAATATTTAACTGTTAAATGCAATAATAGATAAGAATTCTGTTTGAGGCAGTGGTTATTTATATTAATAAAACATTTGATCTCTTTCTGTTTTGATTACTTTATTCTTTTTTAGTAAATAACTGGTATTAATCACAAGTGTTAACTTTAAGGAGAAGAAAATAAGGTTTTCTCCCCTGATATTTATAACAGTTCTTCCTATTTTATATATGAGATCAATTATAAATCCTTCAGATGAACAGGCAGAGCTAGGAAAGAAATAAATAATTTCATGAAGCTATCTTACTCTTTTACCACTTCAAGGAGGGCATAGTCTTTCACATTTACTATTTAAATTTTAGAACTATACTTGAAATAGTAATTTCATTTTTGCATTGATAAAGGTAAGAAAAGCTGAGTTATCAATATAGAAAGTTATTTTAAGACCATTTTCAAGGGAAAAAGCATGAAAGTGTTCGCATGGATTTATTAAGCTTTTATCTCTGCAGACACCTTTAGGTAATGTCACTGGAATACACAATTTTATTGTATATGTTCAATTTAAAAAGTTAAAAAAGACAATACAATGTATGTTTCTATATACTATATTATTCAGTTAATGTACTGATATTCTTCCTCTTCATGTGTAATTATCTAATTGTATAAGTGTACTTCAATGCTGGATATGCATCAGAGATTTTTAAAAAAATAATCACTTTGGATTTCTTTATGTAAGAGAACCTGTGTAGAAAGATAGACCAAACCCTAGAGTGGAGTTGATATTCAGCAGCTACGCAATAGTGTGAGCATGCTGGTTGCAACAACTAAAGGGTTAATGTCTGAGATACTTGTTTAGACAGGTCTGTTCCATAGATTGGTGAGTGTCTTACCAGTTGTTAAACAAATACCACTCCTGCCTTAAAATACCCTAGTAACACACAGTATACAAACACAAACGCTTTACCCAATGCTTACCTTTTACCTTTATAAGTGTCAATTATGGCAACTTTGCTTATATTATCTTTTCCATTGAAAACCTTATAAACTCCATCAACAGTATTGTTGTACTGAAAAGATATGAACAATAAAAAATTTCTTCTAGAACAAGTCAAATTTTCAAGTTATAAAACATGTAATTAACTCATGTTTACTTTCTCAGGCACAGGTTATTCATAATTATTTTGTATGACTTGAAATATATATGCAATAAAGTTTTTAAATTATTGACCTTTAAAATTATTTAAACAATAAAATGTAAATGGTGCCCAAAAATGAGTTCTAGATGCTGAGACAAAGCAAAAAATATATATCAGAAGTTAACATGATCCAAATTCTAGCACTTTTGTCATAATTAAGCCAATTGGGCCTGTTGTTTTTTTTTTTGAGTTGGTGTCTTACTCTGTCACTCAGACTGGAGTGCAGTGGCTGCTCCCGGCCACCGCACCCTCGACCTGCTGGGCTCCGGGGATCCTTCCGCCTCAGCCTTCCGAGGAGGTGGAACTACAGGCATGCGCTACCACGCCCGGCTAATTTTTTGATTTATTGTAGAGATGAGGTCTCTCCAAGTTGCCCAGGCGGGTCTTGAACCCACGCGCTCAGGCAATCCACTCACCTCAGCCTTCCAAAGGCGCGGGATTACAGTCTGAGCCACCGAGCCCGTCTAATTGGGTCATTTTGTTCACTATTCCTATTATTTTGAGGTGAGGGGACATTGACAAATTTACAAGAATAATAATTTCTAGAGTATTCTAAATGTTATCTTTAACAGGGGGTTATTAAAATGATAAAAATTAGGTATACACATTGAAAAGAATTAGCCAGAGAAAGAGTTATGAGAATTGAGTTAAAATACTAATGGAATCTCTGATTGTATGTGGCTTTCTACATTCACATTTCATGGTTATATAACTTTGCAATCCTGGACACTACCTAAAAATAAAACAACAATGAACTGGATAATATCATTAATATTCACATATAGTACTAAATGAAATCATAATAAAAATTTTATTTTTGTTTTTTTTTGAGTTGGAGTCTCACTCCGTCGCCCAGACTGGAGTGCAGTGGCCGCTCCCGGCCACCGCAGTCTCGACCCGCTGGGCTCTGGCGATCCTTCCGCCTCAGCCTTCCAAGTAGCCGGAATTACAGGCATGCGCTACCACACCCGGCTGATTTTTTGATTTATTGTAGAGCTGAGGTCTTGCTGTCCAGGCGGGTCTTGGACCCGTGGGCTCAGGCAATCCACTCACTGCAGCCTCCCAAAGGTGCGGGATCACAGGCTGAGCCACTGAGCCCGGCTTATAATAAAAATTCTAATTCAATAATCCTCTTGTCCTATTTGTAATTCAAGACATTAAGCTGTAACTAAGTGCACCATCATGTCCATATTTTTCTTAATCTTCAAATTGCCCTTTCATGACATTGTGGACTACTAGGACTTCTCATTTAATAGTTCCATTAAAATAAGGCCCATTGACTTATAAATCTCATTAAGATATGCAATGTATGCTAACTTTCTAATTTTTTTTTTTTTTTTTTGAGTTGGAGTCTCACTCTGTTGCCCAGACTGGAGTGCAGTGGCCGCTCCCGGTCACCTCAGCCTCGATCTGCTGGGCACCTGCCATCCTTCCGCCTCAGTCTTCGGAGTAGCCAGAATTACAGGCATGCGCTACCACACCTGGCTGATTTTTTAAAAATTTATTGTAGAGATGAGGTCTCGCTGCCCAGGTGGGTCTCGAACCTGAGGGTTCAGGCAATTCACTCACCTCAGCCTCCCAAAGGTGTAGGATTACAGGCTGAGCCACGGAGCCCGGCTAACTTTCTGATTTAAATGAAAATAAATTTATAAGGGGTCTAGAGAAGAAGAACTGATAGGTTGAATACATTGAACACAAATGAAATACGATATTGAACTTGACTATGTGAGAAGGGAAGTCAAAACCAGTTTTTAAATTTTAAATTTAATTGTTAAATTCAGATGAGTTTCCCAACTAGGAAAGCTGAAGCAGTATGAGATGGGAAAACTTTTCTTAGGATTTATATCTCCAGACCAGCCACAGGGCTAATACACTAAATTATAAAATTATGTCTTGCCAATGCCATAGTATTTATTTAATTAAAATATAATAATATTGCCATTCATATTTGGTACTTACAGGATAAAACACACCAACTGTGGTAGAAATAGGGTATGGAACCAGACTCAAGAATGGATCCGTATAGCCCCATAATAATTCTTTCACAGTTCTGTTTTGGAACATAGAAGATTTTGACTTCTTGATAAGTGAATTGAGTACAACTTGAACAAATGCATTTTGATAGATATGGGGTGCAGCCTACAAAACAAAAAAACACTTTTTAAAACACCAAAATAATATCAAATTTTAACATATATATAGACTACATACTGAAATTAAGCTTAATAAAACTTTTTGAAACTATATCTTTAAAATCACTCCAAGAGCCCCCCAAAACTAAAACTCTAATTCATCTAATCCATGGATGTTACACTTCTTTGCCTCAATACCAGCCACAAGAAGACATTCCAAGTTAAGCTATATTTTTTTAATGAAACACTTAAAAAGATACTCTAATTCGACTGGTTACTATAATTGTTTTCAAGTTTCCAAATGACTGTAACTCTATTAAAAATAGTGACATAGGAACACATTTTTGTAAAGACTGCAGAATAAATAAAACAGAATTCTAATAAGAGGTTAATTATACTGAATCTTAGAATATTTTTAAAGCAATAACTTTGTTGTTTGTCTACTCACTGCTACAGCCAGATTGAGAATGGTGAAAGTATCATTCTCTGTTCCAACTGATAGTGAAGGTTCAAAGATAGCACCATTAGGCTGCAAGAAAGAAACTGTGTGGTTCTCAGGGTCCTGGGTTACATTTTCCTTGGCTAGATAACGAACTCTTAAAAAAATAAAAAAAAGAAGAAGTAAGCAAAATTCAAAAAATGTGTCTTATCAGATCTCAAATGTCATTCATTCAACAAGTAATTTCTGAACACTTGGAACATGCGAGAAATTATCCTAAACAATTAGGTTATAATGAAATTTCAGCCAGCGTTGGGTCTCTAGCAAACTAATCAGCAAGGGTTTTAAACTTGCAAACAGGAAATCAAAATAGCAGGGAAAAGAAATATGTGTTATAATGGAAGTTTACAGAGTCCATGGGGGCATGGGGGAACAAACAACAGAAAAGATACAAACCCAGATTTGGGGTGAATAGGGTTGGGGTGAGGGTCAAGACATATTTTGGTAGCAATTCCCCATAAGTGGACTAAATAACAAATAGAAGGTTAGTTAAGTAAAGCAGGGTGGACAGTGGCATATATAAGATAAGAAAGAACATAAGATATTTTGGGAAATGTAGATGTTTGAGTGTGATTGAATCATAGAGTGAGAGGCAAGGAGAGTGGTGGCAAGTACAGTCAGTGAAATAAGAAGATCTCAAACATAAAGGGTTGCATCCCATACTGAGATGACAAACTTGATCCTGGGGAAAAAAGAAGGCAGTACAGAAGCTTAAACAGAGAAAGACTAAGGGGACAATTTCTCATATTAGAAGGAAGTTTTAAAGTACTTAGCCCATCCAACACTGGTCTTTTCATCTTATTCAGAACTTTAATGAGATTTAGAGAAAACTAGTAAGTATAATTCCATTTTTAAGGACTACAGATCTCCCCCACCCACCACATACTTACTAGTTCTAAGCACCTGGCTCTGACATCTGTAGGCTGCAAAGTACCAACCACATTTTAGGAAAGGAGTGAAGGGTGATTATTATGGGAAACATATTTTGGAAGTACAAGATATTCACCAAGAAGAAATAAGGAATACGATATACATCAGCACTGCACTATCATATATTTGATCATGCAAGGTGAATAGATTACTAAGATAAAGAACTTTAAAAACTGGACCAAAATTTAACGAAAAACACATTTCATTCAACGATCCCATTAAAATGTAAATCCCTACATGGTAGGGGTTATAAGTGCTTTTTTTCTACGTACATAGTGCCTACTGCAAAGTGAGTTCTTACTAAATATTTTATCAAAAAAGTAATAGCTAATATTCTTTAAAAAGATAATTCAAAATTAGCTCTATCTATCTATCTATATCTATATCTATATTTTAAGTCGGGATCTCTGTCCCAGGCTGGAGTGCAGTGGCATGACCTTGGCTCACTGCAGCTTTGACCTCCTGGGGTCAGGTGACCCTTTCACCTTAGCCTCCCAAGTAACTGGGACTACAGGTGCATGCCACCATGCCCAGCTTAATGTTTTCAGTTTTTGGTCTCACTATATTGCCCGGGCTGGCCTCGAACTCCTGGAGTCAAGCGACTCTTCCACCTGGCCTCCCAAAGTGCTGGGATTATAGGCATGAGACACCACTCCTAACCGATTTTTAATATAATTTCACCAAAAGTTTATTATTTTTTTCCTTAGAGTACTGTAGACCAGCAGAGTGTATAAAAATCCGAAACAGCACTCATGGCATTCATTACCAGCAATGTATTCTCTCTCAAACACTGTATTTTAAAATTGGAGTGACTATTACTAACATTTTTAGTTGAAGTTTAATTTTTAGAAATATTTATATTAATGGCAAAATAATTGTGACGTCTAGATTACTTAAGTTGTACTAACAACATTACACCAGTAGATGGCACCCACTAAGAAAAAATCCTTGTACTTGTAAAAAGCGAAAATAATAACTCAATTTTTTGGTTTGAAAATTAGATTGTATACAAGTTTTGGAAAGTGTTGATGTATAATGTCAAGGGAAGAAATTTGCTTTTGATTTTTGCCCAAGATGACTTTCTTTGTATTCCTGCCAAAGCAAAATAACTTACAAAACTGAATTATGGTCTGAGAATATTCTGAAGGAATTAGTGTCTTTATAGAGATCGTGCAGGTAGGAATATACATAAGACCTCAATCCAAACAATTTCATGTTTTGACTCACGTCATGGCTTGCCAATCAAAGTCTTATGAAACTTCAGCAGCCATTGGCTACATAAAGCCTGTTGTTCTGGTTGAGGAGAAACCTCCTGCTACACTTGCAATGTCAACTGGATTTAGGGTTCAACTAATCATGGGGAAGAATGCTTAGGTCTACATATCAAGAACTCTCAAAATATTAACATTTTCACAAAAAGTAACTAGTTACTTTCTCAACATTTAAAGCATCAGAGAAGCAAAAAAACGACCACCAACTGACACGAATATGTATATTAGCTGTCACTATCAGAGAACTACATTCGACAATATTATGGTAGATTTGTTAAAAGAGAAAACACTGTAAAGAGCACCAACAAGTAGTATAGCAGCGTGAGTATCTACCACCGGTAAAAAAAACTGCCTGAGATTTTTCCCAGAGAAGTGTGACCCTGTCTTTGGATGGGGTGAGTTTTCTGGTTCCCATCATGCACTTGGATTCCTGCCATGCAAATGAGTCAGTTCTGATTGGTTGATGCTTGACCTTGATTGTAAGCCACTCCTGGACCTGCCGGAGGTTTGTCATCATTACATTTCAAGATTGCCTTACTCAGTATAGTTTACCCAATTTATATCCTCTCAGCCAAGCTCGCCACAGAACTCAAACATATTTCTGACTCTTTAGAAGTCCTCCAAACTCAGGTCGCTCTCCCTAACAGCAGTTGCTCTCCAAAACTGGCATGGCCTAAACCTGCTCAAGAAGGCGTTTGCTTTAGAAGAATGTTGCATTTATTTTATTGCTTCTTCTTTTCAGCCCTTGCATATTTAATTTACTTGTCAAATTCATCTCCTCTAGAATTCAACAATTTCACAGTCAACTGACACTGTGAACAAAGATGTCAGCCTCTCCCCAGTGATGCCTATTCCTTACAAATCTCCCATGGATTCAGCTGGAAACCAGGGTTGCCTTAACAGTCTTCTTTCTGATGAGTCTTTTTTCCATATCCTAAATTCCACAATTCAAAACAATAACTCACAGGGTCCCTGGAAAGACCAACAATCCTAGATAGGGCCAGCACCATGCCGGTGTTCAGCATGAATCAGTTTACAGATGATGAGGCCTTCGCCCCTATGCCAAAGATTTGGCATTATTGCCCTGTAGGGGGAAATGTGGAGTAATATAGTGCCCAATATTATATTTATACCACTCATAACACGAATAATACCTTTAAAAGTGAAAAACATAACCTCCCCAAACAAGTAAAAAACAAAACATTAAACATAGCAAGTTCTCAAATTCTAATTGTTATTTTTTCCTCTCACTTATTCAGTTTGTTCATGATGTACTTTTAAAACAGTTATGTTTAGACTCTCATTAGGTCACATGTGGATTCCAGATTTTCATAGGTACCTAACAGGTATATATAGGTACATAACTGTGTACCATTCCTTTGAAACAAGATATTTGTATAGGTTTTTGCTAATAGCCTGAGAACTGGAAGGCCATGAAAATATTTTCCAAGGTAAGATTTTTCTTATAACAATTAGAAACAAGTCTTTATTGATAAAGTTGTAAGTAGTCACACACATGTGCATAGAGACAGGAGACGGGGAAAATTGCTAAGACCGGATAGGAACCAAGACCCTCTGCATCTTATATGTCATGTGCTATGGTAGCAGGCACCACCTTCGCCATGACTACTGTTATTTCATTATATTCTGGGTATGAATTTATCAATCTAGAAATTAGAGAGGAAGGAAAATTATACAATCATAGAATATCCCAAAGAGATAAGATACTAGAAATATGAGTTATAACAAATCATTACAAATATAAATTTTTGGAGTAAGAATTAATCATGGTTTATAACTGGGTACAATTATCTGTGAGAGAAAATTTGTATAAAAAATGGTATAAGTAGGAGTTAACTGTGTTCCCATTTGGACATCATAAATATATCTCTAATCCTTGGTTAAGGTTGTGCTTTTAGTACCCCACTCTCCTTCTTATGCCCTTTTTTTTAGTGGAAAAGACACGTAGTCTATAATTTAGATAGGCCAAAAAATATGTACAAAAATCTAGGAGTTACCAATTCCTACATCTGTGTGAACATGGACAAGTAACCTAGCATCCACTAGTGTCAAGTGTCAGAATTTTTCTTCTTTTTTAATGTACAAAATGAGAAATTCTGGCTAATCATTTCTTTTAGTTCTAAGAGCCTAAGATTCTATTCAAAAGTGTGTTAAACTCTTAGGGAATATAGGCTAAGGGCAATGAATACTTAGTCTCAGAACTAGAGAAAATATAAGAACAAAACTATCAGATAATTGTAAACATCTATGTGATGTGAAAGTTATTCTGAATATAAAACTTTAGGTGCTGTAGTTATGTGGATATAAATTTTGTGCCATGGAGTTCTCAAAACTGAATGTGTGTCAGAATCACCCAAAGGGTTTATGAAACTCACTAGTGGGGCCTAGGTGGAGTCTCCAACTAATTTGGCCTGGGATGAGGTCTGAGAATTTGCATGTCTACCAAGTTCCCTGGTGACACTGATGCTGCTGGTTTAGGAACCACACTTTAAGGACCACTGATATAATGTATACATTTAATCTGAAGATGCTAAAGACGGATAATTTTTTTCCTGCTCAGCATGCATATGTTGGTGTTGTCAAAAGTATATTCCACAAGTACAAAACATGTGTAACTTGTTAAACCTAGGGAAGTTATTTAATGATAATAAATTTATAACCAAATCTGTATTTCTTCTCTGTACACTGTCTGATAAACACTGGAGTAGTTTATATATCTTTACATCTTATTCAAAACAAACATCTTATAATCATTATATCCTTAGATTAGGATTCTATACAGGGAGGAAAAATATTTCAAGGTACGATGTCATTGGTAAGAAAAGAATAAGTACATTTCAATACAGTGGCCCTTGTCAAGCACAAGTCTTCCCGGAAACACATATGTTCCAGATAAGAGTGCCACTTACTTTTGAGGACTCACTCACCTGTATGTGTAAGGACCTCTTTGCTTGACTTTAATGTTGCTACTGTTCACTATCACTTCCTGTGGATTTTGCACATCAAAGATCCAAAACTGTCTGTAGACTTCTGTGCCTGTTTTAACCCAATTTTGAAAAGCAATTGTACCTTCTTCAAGGACAACTTCCTATAAAAAAAAGAGTTATATTTATTTATAGTAAATACAGAAACTTCTGGGAAACTTTTTATAACGTTTAGTCAGACAGAATAGAAAGACCAAGCTTAAAATATCTCATTCATGAGAAACGTTACAACCTTGAGAAATGTTTTCTATAAATTATTATAGCAATACTTTTTAGTTAACTTTTTACAAAGAGAATCAGTGTGTAATACTGAAGACATGACTGTTGATTTTTAAGGCAAACCATTGGCAAGCTTTAGAGTGGCCCTTTGGCAATATTGCAACAGTCAGTAACCCAAGTTATGAAGCAAATTTTATTAAAGTTGTTCCAAAAAGTTCATATCAGCTCAAACACTAACCTATCTTCTGTCCCAAGTGGGTTGGGTTGATGAGACAAAACAGAAAAACTGAGTGAAAATCTAGTTGTATTGGAAGATTTTTCCCTTTTGTGTGTGTATCCAACACTTTAGGGCACAATGACAACATTTATTACTTTAAGAAAATAAATGCTTCTGGATGAAAATGCAAATTTGACTTTTCCTCCTCAAAATCCTGCTCAATATGGCTTCCCTAATTTTCAGTATATTTGCAAGAACCCATTAGTATGTCTTCCAAAATTATGACAGCCTAATTCATCATTATTGGGTTACTGCTTTTTGAAGGAAAAAAACAAGATAAGGAAGCTGTCGTATTATTCCATTGTGAATTTATTAAAAATCACTCATTCCTCTTGTACTGAAAACAGACAACAGGAAAATAAACCAATGACAGAATTAAAAACCCTATAAGTGAAATCTGATTCCTTACTTTAAGAGCTTTGGAACCAAATGGAAAGTCAACAAACCCTTTGGGGTCAATTTCACTATCTGTAAAATCAGGAGTTACCACAGATGCTCTCCCAGCTTTCAACCACTGCTTTCATACTCTGAGCTGGAATTCTATGTAGTAACTAGGGCACACAAAGGTGATTTTGTAGCAGGTAATTTTTCCAGTTAAGTACATTGGGAAGAATGCCCAGGTTAAAGAGCTCCAACTTAACCTTAGTATGCTAGAGGAAGAGGAAGAAAACTATTTCACAGAAAATGAGCCTAAAGAGACCCATGACTACAGGAACAAGCTGACCTATTTACTCCGTTCACCTGGAAGCCTCACGTCACAGAACGATGGATCAAGAAAGGACAATGAGCATCTTCACATTTTCTAGGAGAGCACACTGAGACTGAGAAACCAGCTGGCTGGTCAAAGGGTAGTTGAGGCAAAGAGTAGGGACACCATGATGAAACCCTTCACCTCTGACCTTAGACTAATCCTCTTTTACACCATGTTATTACTGTCTTTTTTTTCTGTCACCCTTTGCACTTAGTTGGTAGAAGTCAAATTTATTTAATATCTTCAGGGTATTTTATGTATTGCTTAATGCAGACAATAAGAAACTTCGTTAGAGAAAAACGGGGCACCAAGTTAAAATGGAATTACAAAATCCTGTGTTGTTGCAATTCATTTACACTTGTACACACTGGACGTACTAGAGTGATGTTGAAATCTCTATGACATTTTACAACAAATTATTCTTGAAAAACCTTTTATTTGCTCCCCCAAAGGCTTATTTCCACAGTAACAAGTTCAATATTAAGACAAAATTGCTTAAAGTATTATGGGTATTCTCCTAAATGTAAAGAATTTGGTGAGGATGTTAAAGCTGAAAGCTGTATAGAAACTGAAAACTATTATTGTACCCATTTCAAGAGACTTTATGAAAGGAAAACACACAAACACATACACGCATACATTATATTATTCTCACACTATTAGAACTTTAAAGTCCAACGAAATATCTGTGATTTATCAAGTGCCTCACAAGATACATACTTTATTTTAGTTCTTAATGAAAGGAACTCAATATGTTTTTATATAATTGAAAAGAGTTTGAGACAGAATGTGTTTTTAAGACAATGTCTAGGTCTAATGCATGTGTCTAAATACAAAAGTACATGGTAAGTGTATTATGCCTTTTTTAAATCCCATAACTCACTTTCTATTAAAAAAGCTAGCAACAAATAAGTCAAAGGTGAAAAACAAAAAATTGAAAGGAATCCATTGAATTATCAAGTGCTAGGGTGAGGACCATCTAACCCCACATTTTTTCAGAGGTAGAAAATGAGTTCTAGAAAAAAAGAGATGTCTGCTTCAATATTACAAGACAAGTCTAGCAGCAAATAATATAGAAATCAGGTTTTTTCACTTAAATTTTGTATACTTTCCATAACGCCATTTGTTCAGAAACAAAGAGAAAACTATTGAAGTAATCAAAATAGGAATGCCATTCTTCTGATGCTAAAACAACAATATGTATTAGAAAAGTTTATAGCTACTCCTCCTGTGTACCTAGATTAAATATGCCACAAGTTCTTCTAATTTTTAAAGAACTAAAGGAGTTTATGTCTTTTGTGAATTTAGAATGACTTGATTTTAAAATGGATTTGAACTATCTAGCCCATTTTGCAAATATTTCACTAATTTTGAAATACTAAGTTGATAATTACATGCACAGAAAAAGTAATCCAATGTAAAATCCTCTCACTTGGCTAATGTGTAGGTCAGTATTTGTCCCTGAACTTAAGTATACAGGCTAACAGCCCTAATAACATCTGGATTTCTCATTTCTCTCAATCTCTCAATCTCTCAATCTCTCTCTCTCTCTCTCTCTCACACACACACACACACACGCGCACACACACACACACACACACACACACACACACACACACACACACACACACTCCTCTCTGCCCTTCCCCCTTCCCTCTTCCCTTCCTCCCTCCCTCCCCCCTTCTCTTCCTCCCTCCCCTCCCCCTCTTCCCTTCCTTCCTATCTAGATTTCAACCTAGTAACTCTCAGCATAATCTACAGTGGAGTTGAAAGGTATTGACCTAAAAACTTCTATTCTGCTCTGTTAATTTGAAAACAGATGCTTATGATAGTAATGACTTCCATATAATCATATACTCACTTTATTGCTGTTGCATGAAACCAGTACTCATCGATGTGACTGGAAAATTTAGTGCAGTAATGAAAATGTCATTGATATCTTCCTGTGCATGGAGTAGGTAGAGTACAAATGTAGAAAATATATTGCCTTGTTTTTCGATAACTTTATCAAGTATTACTAAGAGACAGAATCATGGATAGCAGATTTTAATCTGTGAATTAGATTATTTTCCCCTATCTCCACCCTGACAAAGTGTAGTGGCTTCCTTTCTAAAGCATAGGCTGCATACAGTGAAGCAGTGTCAATGAGAGATGCTAAGAGTTTGATCATCAGTTTGGTAATTTAATAATCATTCAAGTTTGAGCAGATTATTTAATTTCTTTTTACCTGAGTTTCCTTATCTGTGAAATGATGATAATAATAGTAATAGTAGGTTAAGCCATATCAACTTAGTATTTTTGAAAGTCAAAAAAGTTGTATTTTGACATTTTCCTATGGTTTAAATATGTATTCTCATGCTTATGAGGATTAATAATGAGCATTTAGAACAGTGTTAGCACACAGCAGGCATTCAGTAAATGCCAGCTATTCATATTTTGCAAGTCCTAACTACCCTTCAGAGGAAGAACTCTTGTGTCATTTCTTCTTACACTGCTTTGACTGTTTGGTTCATAGCACTTATTGTATAAGACAGTCATGTGCAAATAACTTATGTAATATCCTGTGATACTTCTTTTTTTGGCTATTTAATCATTTTTATATTTATTATCTCTCCAGTAAAATAAAAACTTTCTTAAAAAGCAGAAGAATACCAAAAATAGCCTCCATTCTTTCCACCCACTACTACAATTTGCTTGTAACTGGTCCTAAAGAAAGCAATTTCCCCATGTTAAAACAAAAATTGTCATAAGTTTTTGCATTATGCATGTATGTGTATGTAGAGAAAAGGAGAATAAATTGGAATATTAGTGACAGTTGTGCTGAGAATAAGAAAATAGCTTTAGTCTCAGATCACCATAACTAAAACACAGAATATAATTTGGTAAAATGTATCAGAGAAGCAGGATTTAAAATGTTTCTGAAGTCCAGAAATTACTCTCCGATAATTTATGTTAAAAACCTAAAATGGGGCTGGGCTCAGTGGCTCAGCCTATAATCCCAACACTTTGGGAGACTGAGGTGAGTGGATTGCCTGAGCCCATGGGCAACTTGGTCTCCACAGTAAATCAAAAAATTAGCCGGGCGTGGTAGCACACACCTGTAGTTCCATCTTCTTAGAAGGTTGAGGCGGAAGGATTGCCTGAACCCATCAGGTCGACACTGGAGTGCCACTGCACTCCAGCCTGGGTGATGGAGTGAGACTCCAATTCAAAAAAACAAAAACAAAAACACAACAAAATGAAAAAACTAAAATGGCTAAAATGGGAGATTTTGAATTTAGCATGAAAAATAAGCTATGTTGATATCAAACTGGGTGAAGGAAGAAAATTATATATGCTTACCTGCTATTTATTGAAACATTGTTTTTAGGTGACATTTGTTATTACAGTTATATGCAAATATATACGCTGTTAAATTTATTTTGGGGTATTGATACTCTAATTTTAAAAATTTGGGGATTGTTTCTTAGTCTTACATCATTAAACATAAAACAAATATTACAACTAATACTTCAGGCATTTCTTTTTGAAATTTTTAGATTCTATGAAAATGTACAAATTATTTTCTCATATCTGGAAATATAATAAATATGTATTATAAACTTAACATAAACATAAATTAACTTATATTATTAAAATATTAATGAATGATTCAAAAGTAAAATTATTTTAATTTGAAAACCTATTTTATTTTGTCTGAAAGCATTTATTAAAGATACTAAAAATCTTTTGTTGCAAGAATGGGGTAAGGAATTAATGGTATAATTAAATGATGATAAAGTTGAATATTGGTCTTTTAACAAGAATAAAATAAATCTTTATTCCTTTGGGGAGTTTATTTAAAATTACCTACATTA